CATATTTAGCAGAAAACTTAGCCCTTGTCCATAACCTAGCTTTAAGACGTAAGCTGTAATTTACCAACCACAGTCAATTATTCTTCTAAAAATCAACCATGGTCAATTTCTTACGGCTTACGTCTTAAAGCAAGGTTGTGAACAAGGGCTTAATCACGCATATGTAATCTTTCTGCAAACCTTTCGGATATTCTCAAGCTTCTAAACTCAGATGCAAAGATACAGCAATGTTCTTTAAAATTTTTCTGTTTGGAGTATCCACACTTTCGGTATCTACAAGCTGTGGAACTTTTGAGTTAGGCAAATATTATGTTAACAGTGAATTAGGCAAATATTATGCTAACAGCTTGAGATCTTAAACTTAAAATTTTTTTTTCATTTTCATCAAATATTAAATGATGCTCCTATTTATTTTTGCACATATTTTCATTGCGTAAAAGCATTTGTAATTCTGTACAACCAAAACGACGTAAATTTTGCAAGAAAATATCAGTATTCTGTCGGTAAAGTTTTCAGCATCTCCTTAAGAGGAATTTTCAAATAACGACTATTATACGGGGCTTAGAGTCCCGTCACTGGGGTCGATATTACGACACGCTTAATTTCGAGTGCGAACGATCCTATTGGTGTAAGGATATTAATCGACGCTCGTACATCATCCCACGCTCGCCCGATATCCGCGTATTTTCCACGACTTATATCGTCGTGAAACAATTCGCGATAAATACAGCATCTCTCCCAAAATCCGTCGGTGGCGGTGGCGACTGCGGCTTATCGTGCGATACGCAGCGAGGTTTATCGTGATCACTCAAAGGGTACGCTGCGATAAATCAGCTGGAGTTAACTGTGGAGTCGCTCACCCCCCCCGTACCGCTCGGACTTTATTTTGATTTACGCACGAGTAAATCCGCGGTTAGCGACGCGATGTAAACGTAATCGTTGCTTATTGCCCTCGAAGAGATTGTCCATCACCCTGACGGACGGCGAAAAAGAGAGAGAGAGAGAGAGAGAGAGAGAGAGAGAGAGAGAGAGAGAGGGTAGTTAGATGAATTTATTTCACCGGCGCGAGAGCTCTCCGAGCACACACACACACACGCGCGCGCACGCGCACACATATACACGGGGAGAAATCGCAAAAACTTTTTCTAATTCGCGAAAATCGAAACGTGGAGGCGTGACGGCAACGCCAAACAATTACACGACCGTACAGTCGAAGCGTAAAAATCGAATAGAGAGAGGCGAAAACGCGAAATAAGCGAATGAGTGTAACTATAAAACTGGAGATGAAGCGTGTAATAAAAGCGGTTTATAAACGGGTTTGCGTTACCACTTTATCTCTCTTGACCTAAATTAAATTATGGATTTATATGAATGTGCAAATGAAACTACATTATTTGTATAAACAGAGCCTCGGTTAAATTCGCCGTTTTAATGCCGGTCCGTTTGCAGCGGATAAATCAAGATACTTGCGGCAAGATAACGAAACCGAAATCCAAAAGAACTTACAAGAAGTAAATGAGAGAAAGAGAGGGAGAGAGAGGGGGGGAGAGAGAGAGAGAACAAAGAAGAAGAAAGAGAGAAAGAAAGATTATGGAAAAGGAAAGTATTGGAATTAAAAGGATGAGATATATAGGTCAGGCGGTATATACTTCCGGATCGTCCAAAGTACAAATAATAGGAGGAAGAGAGATACAAGGAGATGGAACAAAATTGGGCCGATCGCAGGAGGGAATAAGATCTGTTTGGGAACTCGTTTTCGTGGCCGCGTGATAAAGTCACGTCTCATGCACAAGTGGGGACAAAGCGCGTGAACGAAACTTGCTACCACCCTGTCCAATCGCCGCGAACACTTTTTCGCTTCCGTGTCCGACGAACAGCCGCACTCCCGTATGCTTTCGTCAATATTTCGCCCCGGTACGCTTAAATAATTAATTTCTCATTAGTGCGTTGCACGCCTCGATGATACTCAACAGTGCGGCGAGGTGCTCATGCAATGTGCGCGATACACAATTAGTAGTTAACGCTCACAAATGAATCGTCAAATATGTACACGCTCATGTTCGTATCACGGAAAATCGCGGGACTCAGTTTCTCGGGAGATACGAGCGACGTCATGTTTTCGCGCAAAATATCACATGAACGCATGATGGCAACGCACATGGAAAAAACAATCTCGTCTAACGAAATCAGGGTTGTTACAGAAAATCAATTTTGAAATTCCCTGATGTTTCCCAGACGACAGTGGAAAATTTTCCATGACCAAAATATAATCTTCAATTTTAACGTTTAGGAACAGGGTTTACAGAAAAAGTAACTTATTTTAATAAAAGCAATATAAATTTTGTTTAGTAAGATAATATTCTTAACATATATTCCTGAAAATGCAGGCTAACAAAAATTATATGAATATTAGAAAAAATAATATAGTTATGTGATAAAAAAGGATGATTGAATAGAAAAATGCTGAATAAAATATGAATTTTAATTATTTTGTTAACACACACATCATGCTGCATGTACTAGCATAGATATATACATATTCAATATAAACTAAAAAAATCTTATTTTTTAAATAATATTTGAATTCATATACTATACTTATAAACTTTTCACGTTAAAATAAAAAAAAAATAAACTTGACTAATAAAATCCCTAGTGACCTTAAATTTAGTAAGTGTCTAAATTTAGTAAGTGTTTAGTAATTATGTTTTCTTCTATTATAACCCAGGGAGGATTTAATTTCAAAGAATTATAAGGAAAGGTCAAAGTTCCAGGTTATTTTATATTTTTCCCTGACATATTCCGGTTTTCCTGATTTTCCAGATCTATAGCAACCTTGGAAATGTTCCGTTTCCTGGCAAGAATAGAGAGCGGTTGGAAAACTCGTTGGTAGGAACAGGATCATTCCTGCACAAGGTTCTCAGTTAGCAAGCTTTAACCCTTCGAGCGCACTGTGGTGCAAATTTGCATCATCGATTTCTCTTAAAAGCGATTTTTTCGGAATACTCAAGTGTACGTAAACTTTTCACTCTTTTATTACTTTTTTATTGACTTTTACACCATCATCGTGAAAAAAGTTTCTGATCTTTTTTCTTGTATTAAAAAAATATAAACTTGAGATTGATGAATTTATATATACATACAGAGTCAAGTTATGTCAGCAAAAATATACGTCTATGTGCGTCTTGATGTCTTCCATCATGTGTACGCACGAAAGGTTAATACAGCTATATGTTCAGACAACGATTTTCCTTTGAGACGATATCATCCTCCGTCGTTGAATTTTCAGTCACACGAAATGAGATTTTCTCCCGTGTAGACGGAAAAAAAACAATTTCGTTGACACAACTGAATTTTCCATTGCCTGGTAAGAATAGGAGTCAAATGAAAATCTCGGTTGTAAGAACAGAAACATTCCTATAGGAGGTTTCTACTCTCAGTTAATTGTTTTCAGTTACTGCAACTAAATTTTTATACAGTTGGAGAAAAGAGAGATATGTCCAGACGAATGTTTCCGGTTGTAGTAACAGAGTTTTTACGTTGTCGAATTTTCGTCTGATTTCTATTCGGTTGCACACGGAAGAAGCAACTCCGTTAGTGTAACTGAATTTTCTGCTACTTGAGAATCAAATGAACTTGGAACAGAAGGATTCCTCTAGGAGGTTTCCACTCAGCCAACTACTCTTAGTTACCTCAACCGAGGTAGTCAAGTTTTCACGCGGTTGTATGACCAGACGAATGTCTTCGGTCACAATAATAGAGATGTTATTTTTCGTCCGGCCTCATTCAGTTGTCCGAGTTAAAATTATTTTTTCCGTATATGAACTGATATCTTTGTTCTTTTGTTATTTTGCAGACAAGTCGGCTGGCGAATTCTACGTGACGCACCTTCAGAGTGAAATATGGCGGAACGTCAGTCCGGTGGGTGCTACTAAACCCACACGATGCACGGTGGAATGGCAAAGGTCAGGTTCAGAGATCACCGATGCGAAATCAAGTTTGGACGGAACGTACGCAATCGACGGAGCACCATCCCTGACTCAGCGATTCCCAAACTCTTTTTTCTATTCAAGCCACGTTGGATATCGACGTCATAGGCATATTTCGTCCTTTTCAAGCGATGCATTGGACACGAAAATACTAGATAAATATTTCAAGGAATACAAGTGATCCGAGAATAGAGCGAAAATACTTTAAGAGGGAAACCGAAGATATTTAACGCAAGATATTTAATTACTTTCCTTTGAAGACGTCGTGCACCTATCGAGAAGCGCAGCAAAGGAAGCACGAAAGTTTCTGAGAAGCTGTTGATGCCGTTCCAACGGGAAACCGGATGGAAAATATTGTATCGGAGATTCCTCTCTCGCTTTGAGAAATATAACAAAACCGTTAGGAAGAATCTCCGCTGTGGAATAGTATGAGATCAGAGAGTGATGTTCAAAGCTCTAAACTGCACATCGCGATGGGATTTGTTCGCGCTCGAGAAAACAGTACGATATGAAAAGTCCACTTAAGTCGGGAGATATCGAAAATATCAGGAAGAAAACAGCGAAGGTACGGATCACCCTTCCGCATCCTTCCTCCGAATCCAATAAAAACTTCTAATCTCTAAATAAACACAAATAAACTAAATAAACATAAATAAGACTAAAATGAAGAACCTAATTTTCCACATTTCCTCTAGATTAGCACATTACTTGGTCCCAACGAGCTACGTGTCAAAATATACGTGTCTCTGTACAACTCGCATGCGCGGAGGGTGCATATATAGCTTCTGTTTACGTTTTTCAGGTTTGGACGGCCGCGACGCCCGGTTTGGGAACTCCTGGTGCCGCGCATGAATGGCGCAGGGAACGAGTCGGATGAACGGACCGGCAGAACGGACCAAAAAGGGGCGAGCGTGCGCGGTGGAGAACGCGAAGTCGGCGGACTCGTTTCGAGGGCCAAGTCGCGTGCGTCCAGGGGGAGACGCGGAAGCCGAAAAGATCGGAGAGGAACTGCGAGAGGAGAGGACGAAGGGGAGAAAGCACACGGAAAGAGAAAACGAGGTAGAAGAAGAGCAGGAGAAGAGAGAAGAGAAGAGGAGAGGAGAGGAGAGACCGGCACGGCGAGTGCGCAGGCGGCACTTACTGCCAGAGTCACTCTCGTCGCACTCACGGCAGACTACTCCGCAGCGGCGCGACGGCGACGCGTCGCGACGATCCTCTTCTGGGCGCACTCAGTGCGCCGCGAGCGCTTCGAAACCGCGTGTCGATCTAACGTCTGGCGGGATGAGAACAAAACCGCGCAATCGTTGAAAAGAGCTCGGGAAAACGGGAGAGAAAGAGAGAACGAAACATAGAGAGAGTAAAGTGAGAGAGTGTGCAGCAGGTTGCAAAAATGTGCCATGAAGTTTTAAGACGATGCAGTTTTAACAGTTTCTTTCAACGACAGTGAGCCGTTTCTGAGCTTTCTTTCGAGCGAATTAAAAGAAAAATCATTTTTGCCGGGAAATTTTCGTTCAATGGTGCGCGAAGAGAAAGCGAGAACGCGCGCGTTAAGACTGTCAATGTGAATGGTCGTCGTGAGAATTATTTATGATAAACGGTCAGCGTCGTGTGATTATTAATGAGCGGCCGGCGAGTATTATTGTCGAGCTCGGTCGAGTAGACCTAATATGATTAACCGTCGCCCGCGTATTCCGGGTAGTTAACCATCGGCAAGCATAATCGAGCTTATTAACGGGTCATCAACGAAATTTATCGCGGAGCGGTTGTCAGGTTCCGGGCTATGTTAATAACTGATAACTATATTCAGAGCTCGCGCGACTAGGCTCTTCACCGGGTTAGCAGTGAGTAGTTGTCTTGTTTGGACTTACTGATAAACGACCATCAGCGAGCTTAATCGACAGATGTCCAAGTGGAAATTAGTGCGAGGAACAATTAGTCGGCGAGGTCTGGAACATTTGGGACGGCTTCTGCGTTGGACGCGGCGAAATGATCCAAGTGATATAACTTCATTTCGCGCACTGTAAAGACAACCGCGAACGCTTAGAATCAACGAGAGAAACGAGTCGGTGGGATGAGAGACGAGACGCGAATCGATAATTCGCCTGTTTACTTCGTCAGGGATGAACAACTTCCCCCTTCTTTAGAGGGGTGACAGCTGATGGATGAAGGAACGACACGATGGATCAATGAAGAAATAAGAAATTAACGAACGACACGGAGACACCGAGAGAGCATCGAGAGATAATCAATTATCCGGGATTTCCTCGAGAACAAGATCCCGTATGTCCAAGGTGATCAAAGAGCCGTCACAAGTGTAATCGATCGGACACAACGGAGCGCAATTGTACGACTTTCTCTCCTCTTTTTAAGAAGGGAGTAGTATAACTTGTTAATGGGAAAACAGGCGCTTAATGAGCGGTCATCGCGATGATGCCGGAGCCGAAGACTCGATTCCAGTCGCAAAAACAATCAGCCAAGATCCTCCTCGAACTTCAAAGCTGATCTTACTCAAGACAGTCAAAGGACCTCTCTATTAATAGACCTTTGGAGACCCTTGGAGACCCTTTCCTTTTTCGTAACGAGACATCTCCAATAACGACAGAGGAACAAATTGATTAAGAAGTCCGAAGTATCTATCGATGCACAACAAAGGCAAAACAACTCAAAACTTTCTCAGAGAGGGACTGAGAATCGATCTCGAGGGTTGACTGAAGGAGAGTCGACTCGAGTTCGAATTCCCGCAGTCGGTCGCGAAACTGCAGAGAGAAACGACCAATGAGATCGCGTCGGATGACGTGAACGTTCGAGCGGCTCGCATGTTGAGAATTATCTAGACTGTTTTCGTGGAAGACCGGGGGTGACTCATCGATGAGCGAAGGGTGGCGATCTCGCCGTCGGGGACGGGTTTTTTTTCTCCAGGCTCTCGCGCGGAGTGCCTCTCGAGTGAGTGACTCTTTTGACAGGAATTTCTACGGAGTTTCTGCGCGTCTCCACGACGGACGAAGTTATGATCGACTTCGGCGTCGCGGAAGTGGCGCGAAGTACATGTGATTTCGCGTGTTCGCGCCAACAGGCACGCGACCCGGCACGACGACGCTGGCGAGGCTGGCCAGGTGACGCGATGAGGGTGTTCAGGTGCAGCACGACCGACCAGCTGACCACCGACAGGTGATTATCGTGTATCACGGGAGCGCGCAATTCGCAACTCGCGATTTGACAATCTCGCGCTCTGTCCGCTCGTGGACTATGCGCTATGTTCGTCTATTAATAGTTCGGCGAACAAAGTTTCGCCGCGCGGACAGGCAAAGCGAAACAGGTAATTTCGCGAGACGCGGGGAACGTGCGCCAACATCAAATCGTGGGAAGTCAGCATTCATCGGGCGCGGCATTTCGGGCGCGCGGAATCCGCGAGATTGCGAGTCGGTTGTGGGAGCTTCTTGTTTTCTATCATGCCGCAACTTAGACATTGATTAGATGCCTCTAATACCTTGTTTCATCTCGCTGCAAAATTAGATTTCCGCACGCGCATCCCCCGTCGCTACATACACACACACATTGCCTTAATTGCATACTATATGCTGTAACGTATTTAATTCTATTATTATGTAGCCGGTTTCGCCTCGCTTTGAAAACGTACATTTTTCTTCCCTCATTTTCAATTGTCGCGGCACGACAATTTGGGACTCACGAGCCTTTTCTTCAATCTACGTAGCTTGTTTAGTCGGAAATTTTTACATAGCCACATTGGCAAAAAAATCTCTAGAAATAGCAAATATTTGTTTGGTGAATACTAACAGCACATTTACTTACACTAATGTCTTTCAAATATGATTCTCAAAAATACACATTTGACTGAAAAATACATAAATATAATTTTTTTGAAATCTTACAAAAACCTGAGTTTTTCATGAAAGCAATTATTTATTCCATTTAAATAAAAAAATTTATATTTAAATGAGAATATACTGTTAGTGCCCAACAAACAAATATTTGCTAGTTCTTCGATATTTTTCTTTCAGTGTAAAAATGTCGGCATGTGCTACGCGTCGTCGCTCATAAACCGTGCATACCCTTAATTGCGCGGTGTATTAACCCGTCGAGACGGAAAATGGCTTCTTATACCGCAACATCACAATAATGCATTGTGCGTTTCATACAACGTGCTTGCCATTTTTTGGTTTCTCTCGTAATACATAATGTACGTTATAATTGTACAAAGTGGACAATATTATAAAAATCTTGATATCATCTAGCGACCTCGAGGTGCAGCTTCCGAACAATCGCACAGATCTACATTATATGGATAATTTCGCGACATGTAATCCCCGTGCTTTAGTACGTTGATTACAAAATATATTCGCGCGTATAAACGCAGAACATTTTATTTTCATCTCTTCTGATCCAATTTTATCTTTTTCAAAGAACCACGCGATAACATTCATAAAATAGAGACAAAAAATCCTTTCTCACGCTTATTTTACGTGGACCGAATGCATCACTGGCAGTTAACGTATCAAAGGTACGAATTCGGAAATAAACTCTAGTATTTCGTTTAAAAATTTCTGGAATTAATTACGGGATAGAACAAAGGCGCAAATAACGAAACACGCTGGATGTGTGTGTGTGTGTGTGTGGGGGGGTTGTGTGTGTGTGTATGTGTGTGGTGTGTGTGTGTGTGTGTGTAAAGTGACGTTTTCACATTCGAGAATATTTTATTCAAAGGAACACGCCGCACCGTGAGCCGCACAACTTCAACGCAGATTTAACGAGATTTCGCAACTCGCGATCACGCGAACCGCGCGAGACACGAGAAGAAACGAAGCGGGGCGAAATGCAAAAACTGAACGCAGCGAAAGTTATCGGTGTGGAACGAGCGCAAAGTGGCACGGGCCGCGCGACTTCTTCTTTTTTCCCTTTTCTTTTTTACCTCTCTTCTCGAAAGCGAATTGCTAGTACGCAAAATTCATGGTCTTCGACGCGGATTTATCGCGGTCTCCAATTGCGCGGCGTAATGAGGAGACATTCGGGGAAATAAACGTCGCTCACAGGATTGAATTACGAGGCAGAGGGGGCGGGAAAAAAGCGATAAAAGCGGCGAAGCCGTACGAAGGCGGAGCGAGCGAATTACGATGAGAGAAGTCCGTGACGCATTAGTCACGGCATGAACATATAATTCACGATCGGTCCCCGAATTTCGATTACGCGTCGCGCAATCGAGAGTCGCAAAACGCGAAGTAAACGTCGACTCGGTGGAGTGGGCGGGCGAAAGGGCAAGGGAAAACAAACGAGGCCAAAAATACGGTGTGTAACGAGACGTTAAGAGACAGGACGACGGTGCGGATCTGAGTCCACGATCAAAGGAACCTAGAACAATAGCCGCGAGGAAATCGTATGTGAAAATCCTGAGATAGTGTGACTCGATAAACGCGCTTAACCCTTTGAACCATAGAATGCACGTTGGCGTCACTTTTCTTCTTTTTTAATGTGATTTTAGTTAATTCATGGCGGTAGACATATATAATCCATTATATTATTATTGTACATTATCTCGCATAAACGTAAGTAAAATTTGAAGTTTACTTATTAAATTATTATGAGCAAATATAGTCATCCTTATCATCCATCAAATTTGAACGTTTAATTGTTTAATTGTTAAATTATTATGAACAAATAAGAATAAAAAAGAGGCACTTTTTCAGATAAAAATAATTTAGGACTAACTATTAGGAATCAACTATTAGGCGCACTGAAACAATAACAGTTTACTCAGACTGACACTATTTTACATATTTTTTCTGTGAGCCCTATTTTCCATAGTAAACTATTGAAATATTGCTAATATGTATGCTGCAAGTTTTTAGTATCGAAAGGCAAATATTTCTTTTCATATTTATGTCGAGAAGATGTTACCTCCGAATAATGTCAAAGACAAGGTTACCAATACGGAAAATTTATGATCGCCATATTGGAGCCGCCATTTCGAATTTTTCGATCTCAAATTCGTAATCAGTGAATTCGAAATCCGCCACAATGTCCTCCAAATATGAAGAAACTTTACAGAGAAATAAAATGTACTCAAAGGGTTAACTAGATCTTGCTATCGCGCCACGTCCACGTGGTTTTTTTATCGGGCCTCCCCCCTCTCCTCCACCCTGATAGAAGGACCGTCAATTTTGTCGGAAAAATCTTAACTCTTAAAACTCGAAGTTTCGGCTGCTGAGCCAAAGCGCAGAAATCGGTTACACGTGTCGCGGCACAAAGTTATGGCCGCCGCCTAAAGAGCCGAAGATATCACCGAAGTTTTTCTGTTTATTACTTCGTCCCATCCGAGGCGAGTCTGGTCGTTATTTTCGTTATAAAGTCCAATTGTGCGTCGAGAGAAATGGCGCGTTAAAATTACTCGATGCCTCGGAAACGATTTGCGAGTATTTTTAAATACACGGCTGCTGTTAGCACGACGAAAGCTCTTTAACGTCCGCCTGTAAAGGCAGACGAGGAAGATCCATTTCATCGCGATAATTCGCGCCGTCGCTCCGTCGTCGTAACAGTCGCGCCCTCGACGTTCTTCAGAATTTCATCACCCGAGTCGAACGAAAGCGAGAGCGACCGTTTAAACTTCATAATGACTAATTAAGGAAGACGCGATCGGGGCACTTTTGTGCGACTGCTATAATTATATCTGCGCGGCGCGCGTCGCGTTGGCGAAATAACCGTGAAGCCGGAGCGCAAGCAAGTTTTAATGAATTATCAAGCCAAATTAAACTTTACCGATACAACTTTCGAAATGCATCGGGATTAATGCGATAACAGGTGTATGCAACGGCGAACGGGACGTGAATGTTGCCGGCATGTTTTATTCATGCTGTCGATATTTAACTGTCTCGACCGGACGCAACTACGATGAGAAATAATTTCAAGTGTCAAATCATCAGGGCTTCAAAATTTGACAGAGTGTCCTCCGATGAACGGACGCATAAGGACTCTTTTCTCTCTCCTGACATTTTCAAACTGCAGCTACTGCTTAGCCATCGCGTTGAGTTTCGAGAATCGAATTCAATAAAAGTTTCAAGGCGGATAATCGCTCTTTAATCGATTTGCAGTATTAAGTACCTCCGCAATTAGACGTCGTGCTGAGGAAAAAGGTCTAGTCTAAAGTCTCGCATAAGTATTCTCGAGTCAAAGTTTCGGTTCTGCACTGACCCTGCAAATTCCATCGAATTTGAAAGGTCAATGGGGAATTTCGAGGTGTAATGCTATTCCATACGAACGATTGCTGCCGTTTCCATTATGTTGAAGAGTTTAAAGAAGGATGTGCTAAGAGCCTTTAGGACTTTACGTCCTGCACATATTTTCATAAAATAGACAATGGGTTCGGAATATTATTCAATATTCGGTTATTTGGAAATGTCAATAACACTTAACTTTCATTCTCAATTTCAATAACCAATGGGCTAATTATGCAAACTAATTAATTATAAATGGAATATGTACAACAATTAAATATCAAATAATATTGAGTAAGAATTAATAAGTGAATATTTAAGATGAATATTTAATATTTAACTAATATTTAAGGAGCACACACATCATTAGCAGTTGAATAAAAGAACAAACTCCCTTTCTTCATGATTATTCCTTTTTTCATTGACGTTGGGAATTTTGATATGATTTAAAAATCAAAAAGGATGCAGAAAGAAAAAAAAAGTTGTAAAGGCAAAGATAGCGATTGTGTGCTCGAAAGCATCGATAGGAATTTAAATTTAGCTAGGTTTAAATCGGGCACACCAACAAGGATAAACAGAAGTGGAAAGGAAACATTGGCAAAATCAAAATGCGACTTCCAGACTGCGGAGCGTTGTCAAAAGCGCGAATCAACACACGTGAGATTTACTTGGAGATTTTCAATTTCGACTCGCTTTCGAATTTAATATATTCGACGTAATTCAATGTACTACCGTAAACTCAAGTCTCATGTCAACGATTTTCGGCCGTGAAAAGTTCCAACCGGGCGTAAGATCGATGCAGTGAATCGTCTCGATTATCGCGTCTGAATGGGCGCGTTATCGACCTTGCCGGCCTGGCCCGGAATTGACACGAAGGTCGATCGTGTCCTGCGGAATAATTCGATCGTATTCCGCCAGGGCTGTATTTAACACTACTCAGCACGCAGTTATTCCGCTGGATATTATATTTTCGCGACATTTTCTTCCACGACACTGACTAGATCAATTAATCATACAAACTAACAAACATGAACTCACCAAACGATGTGTCGCTGTCGCATGCTCGCTCTGGCATCTTCGTTGCTGTGTCCTCGTCGGGCCCTCTCGTCAGGACCTCGTTGTGTCCTCTCACACTGCTCAGTCACACTGTCACAATAACACCGTTAACATTCCCGAATACTTCGAACAAGATTCAATAAATAACAATTAATCGCGATCGCGCACGATAATAAACGCGATGTCATTGCGCGGCAGAGCCGAAGTTCCGGTGATTGTATATTCGTAAATGTTTCTTCTCGGAAAATTACTGCAAGAAGACCTTACACGCCACTCATACGCGAGAAAATACCGTCACGGACGAGATTCGTGAAGATTCTATAAACAGAACGATTTATTGTAAAAGTTGCTTCAAATATCTCACACCGACTTATCCCTCTATGCGTCTTTCCACGTCGAACCGACAAAGTAAACTGCTCGACGGCAGATTGACACAAACGTTTTTGTGTACATACGCGGCTGTTATTGTCGAGCACCTCGCGTTAAGCGACGATCACGCAATACATGATTTCTAACTTTGTTTATTGTGTAAAGACTGTGTTTATTGTGTAAAGACTGTGTCTATTGTTCGAAATTACCCGTAAGATAACAGATTCACACAATACACGATTTCATGCCTCCTGACACGCAGCTCTCAGTTCACTACATAGATTTTCCGATAGCAATTCATGTAGTGAACTAAACTGCTGATCAGCATGCACGTAAGAAGTCATAAAATCGTTCATGGTGTGATTCTAACTTAAGACTGTGTTTATTGTTTAAAATTACGGATAAGAGATTCGTTCAAATCCCAAAACAGAAACTGATAAATTGCGAGATACGCGGTGTTCCTGTTGGAACTTTTCTCCATAGATTTTTATACAATGCTCAGAATGTTATATGTATATTTGCACAGTCAAAAATTGATGCAACGTGCAAGTGGTGATGGAAATGGTCATATCTCGGAAAGGCACATTTTTATCGGTTTTTTAATGTCAATTAATGAATATGAAAGTCAATCCAAGTCAAAATTTTGATCCTATTTCGACCTTAATATTCTATTCAATGTTTATTTTGATATTCTATGTGTATGTGTTTGTGTGAAACTTATATTAATTTCTTTTGATTCTATTTAATCTGAAAACTCTATCGAGAGTTTTAGAGTAGAGAGCCTATTTAGAATCTATAAGTGGCATTTTATGTCTTTTCTTTTATTTAGAGACGCTAAGTAAAACTTTAATCTCCATGTGTATTAAACATACATACATGATCTATATATTCTGATCCTTCAAAATATACAGATGTTAGAAAGTTCAGATCGAAAGTTGAAAAATTTCAATTTGAAAAAGCTCATAACTTTAGGGGATTTTCTCTCTATTCTCTCTCTCTCTCTCTCTCTCTCTCTCTCTCTCTCTCTCTCTTCCCCTTCTCTCTCTTTTTCTCTTTCTATAATATACGCTCTTTAAATCTTGGGTCCTTTTCTCTTATATCCTGTATATGCTCATTTCGCCTTGCCGAGATATGACAGCAAGATTTATCTATGCATTATGTCTGAGTAGTCTAGATATTCTATAGAAGCGCTCTTTTCTCGCCCCGAATTGCACTTTCCGGGTTTCGGAGCGCTGCGCGCTTGAATAACAAATGAGACACGTGATTTCGGAAGGGCGAATTTTTGGAGACGGATTTATTCTCGACACGCTATTATATCCGCGGGCGCGAAACGACGTACCGTGCGAAGGTCGTAGCGCGATTTCCGCTTCCCGCCGTCGGTTGACGAATTATATACAAGGAAAAATATTTCACGAGGTCGATAACAAATTGATTCCTCAATAGGGATCATCGCGTCACGATCGCCCGCGGGACGACTCCCTCGCGATTACGGTCCCGGCCATTACAAGATATACGAAAGGGGAAAAGGGAGAGCCTCGCGCGCGCGGTTTGGAGACCACTTGGCACGTTTCTTTGTAGCATCTTCGAGAGAATCGAAGCATAGAATGTAAAGTGGAACAAAGCTCTCGATCGCGAACTTCTGCGACCGGTGACCAACGGCGGGAAATACTTGAAGAGAGGCATAAAAAAACTGTCAGACGGAAGCCCTTTGAGGAAGTCACCGCGAAATGCTGCCACCCCTACTTGTCTTGCGATCTCGAGATTGCTCGAGGGTCTGACCTTTATCTCGATTTTATAACTAGCTAGTCAAGGCGAAGAAAAACAGTTTTTTTACGGCTATATAAACCACGAATATCGTAGATCGCGCGCGCAATTCGGCAACGTTACTCGAGAGCCGTAAATTCTTTGTGGAGTACGAGAACTTCCCATGTCGCAGTGTTTACAAATCACAACTGGAAGCTCGTAAAAAAAAACAAGGAAAAAAGAATTGCTCGGCAATCGATTTCTAATTAATTAAAAATATCACTCGTATCTCTCGCCATTTTTCCCCATCGCCGACATCGATGGAGGAAATGGATTTCGCGAGGTATAAATAACGCAGAATTTGTGTTTTGAGAGGCCATATTGCGCCGGTGGAAAAATATTTATCGTCGATGATACACCCAGCGCTCGATCGTTACGATATTAAAAATTCGCAGGTGAATTAATAATTTACCGAGTCGTCAAGATTCGTGAAATGTCAGCCAATGTCCACTTCGGGAATTTCCCCCTCATCCGTCGCACAGGGCTTTCCGCCGAAGAGCCGATCGACGCAAACTTTCAATTGCCGCCATTTGAGACGAACAGCTTTCATCGTGCTTAAATTATTCATTGCGCGTTTACGGAATTTGACCGAATTGCTCCGCCGGATATCTTCGTGCGCGTTTCGTGCCGGCTGAAAGTTGAGGGCGCATCCTCACGAGACTAAAGCCGCAATTTACCACTGGCTATTGAGGCGGCCCTTACGTCCTGTGTAACGTGGCTTAACTAATTATAACTCGCCAAATTAAACCGCAGAATGAAGATCAAACCGGAATTCGCGGCATCCTCGCGAGTATGTCGATTCGGTGCGCGTGGAAGCTTATTGTTCTTTTTTCTTTTCTTTCAGAATGCATCTCGAAACAAGAATACCGCACGAAATTGCTTGTATTAACGTGAAGTTTGGTTTTAACGAAGTAACCAACGCGCGTTTTGCTTGAAGCACACAGAATTTCTGCCTCTTATGATCTAAATATAAGGCCCGTGTTAATAGTTATTATTTGAAACTCTTCTCGAGCGAGATAAAAAACATTGAGATAAAAAATATTTACAGTGGATACTAAAAACATATTATATCAATATGAAATATTTTTTATACAAGGAAATATACATTTTCTGGAAACACATTAGCATGAAAGCAATCGCTTATTCTATTTAAATAAATGGAATTTAGATTTAATTAACACATGTTATTAGCATCCAACGAATAAATATTGTCACTCGTATCATAATTCAACTGTAAAACTTGGATCCATTTCTGAATAAAAATCAGAGCATCTTACAGGAGACAAGTTTCAAGTGACAGCTATTGATACGGGCCTAAGAGCCAGAAATTTCGTTTTCTTCGCTCAATACGCGTCGGTTCACTTGTTACAATAAAAGTTGTTAATGACACAACGCATACTTTTTTCTCCGCGCGTTATTAGAAGTTCGAGTTCTCGCCGAGTCGAACATAGAGTGCGTTAAGACGGAAATAACTTTAAGTAAATTGTATGGCTCTTTCATGGGCTTTTGGGGCAGCGCTATTCGGTACTAACCAGGCGGAATATAAATTACAACGACTATTTCTCCGACGGAGACATCCATTTATCCCCCGTCGCCCCTCTCTCTCTCTCTCTCTCTCTCTCTCTCTCTCTCTCTCTCTCTCTCTCTCTCTCTCTCTCTCTCTCTCTCTCTCTCTCTCTCTCTCTCTCTCTCTCTCTCTCTCTCTCTCTCTCTCTCTCTCTCTCTCTCTCTCTCTCTCTCTCTCTCTCTCTCTCGAACATTTAATTTATATCTCTTTTCCCCAAGCACGCTAGAGACCGTTTATGATCGCTCGTTAGCGGAGTTAATAACTGTAATCGTTCCTAAAGGTAGCACGCGACGATTAGCCGTCGTCGGTTCGGTCGAAATCAATCTGTATTTCGGGCGGAAACGAGATAAAGAGAGACGAGTACTGCACGTCGTCCTGTGCTGCTCGTTAATAACTTCTCCTACGCGTTTGCGTTTATTTTCATACGCGCGCGCGCGCGATCGCGCGACGAAATAATTAAATTTCGTCTCACGTCAGCGCGCATAAATTTTTCGCGTCGCACGCCGTTTAGCAGCATGGCGATCGTCATCGAAGCTCAACGAGGCGCTGGTCATTTTATATTCATAATAAATGGCGCAGAAGCGCGATTATTATCATTATTATCGTAGCCATTATTTATCAGCCAACGATTACAGGGAAAGGCGACTTGCTCGTTACCGTAGTTTATCTTTTTTCGCCACTTTATATTTCGCTGACAACACAATTAACGATTCCATCCAATATTATAAAATGCGTTATTGTCAATTTCATCGTTAATTTATATTATAATTCGATACGTTGTATCTCCGTGGAACAAAAACCGGCAAGTGCCGTCAATGTCATGACGATGACAGCGCTTTGTCGTTAATTGGATTCGTTATACCGCGCGTACATTGCATGTATAGTGAAACGCGAAGTAAAAATTACCCGTGAAGACGACGATAGAGATAAAGGTCTTCTTCCGCGGACAGGAAGTGCGCTGCGCGCTTCGCTATTCGTTCCGCGACGCGATTACGCGCGATTTGCATTGATACCGATTCAATTATGTCGTGTGTGCCGCGGTACAACTTCGCTGATACTCGTTCCACTCCCCCGCTAGCGATTGATAAAGTCGATCGGAATTAATTGCCACCGTCAGTCGCGCGATCTGATACACGCGGCTGCGGCGGTAATTTGTGCTCAACGACGGACGCGTTGCCTCCGCGATACGTGTCGATACGCGCTGGTGCGCTTGGGATCGATACCTTTTGAAATAACGAAGTTACACGAGCGAACGACAAGCAATACGGCGCGGCAAAATATGTAAACTACATCGCCTCGTGAACACACGGACACACACACGCATACACACACATACACGGCGCGATGATGCGTCCCGTGCATCGTCGCTAACGTGAGAAGCTTTCATTACGAATCGATTACCTCTAACATATTAAACCGTGGCTTTCGTTTTGAAGAACAGATAGAGAGGATACGAGATATCCGTCGCATTTCCCATCCTGCATGCTTATTCTGTTATAATTGATGACAATATCGTTATGGTTAAGCGTCATTACGCAATATATTGTGATATTCCGAGTCGAAATTTTGATCCTACCTTCAGCCTCACTATTTTCAACATGTATTTTGATATTCTGAAGCTTATAATAACCTATTTTAACGCTAAAGAAAATGAAAAAGAAAATGTCGAACATC